TCAGCTCTAGCAGTCTATACTCACCCCATTCTCAGCCCTAGCAGTCTATACTCATCCCCTTCTCAGCCCTAGCAGTCTATACTCATCCCTTCTCAGCTCTAGCAGTCTATACCCATCCCATCCTCAGCTCTAGCAGTCTATACTCTTCCCCTTCTCAGCCCTAGCAGTCTATACTCATCCCCTTCTTAGCTCTAGCAGTCTATACTCTTCCCCTTCTCAGCTCTAACAGTCTATAGTCTTCCCCTTCTCAGCTCTAGCAGTCTATACTCATCCCTTCTCAGCTCTAGCAGTCTATACTCATCCCTGTCTCGGCTCTAGCAGCCTATACTCGTCCCCTTCTCAGCCCTAGCAGTCTATACTCACCCCTTCTCAGCTCTAGCAGTCTATACTCGTCCCTTTCTCAGCCCTAGCAGTCTATACTCATTCCCTTCTCAGCTCTAGCAGCCTATACTCATCCCCTTCTCAGCTCTAGCAGTCTATACTCATCCCCGTCTCGGCTCTAGCAGCCTATACTCATCCCCTTCTCAGCTCTAGCAGTCTACTCATCCCCTTCTCAGCTCTAGCAGCTTATACTCATCCCCTTCTCAGCTCTAGCAGCCTATACTCATCCCCTTCTCAGCTCTAGCAGTCTACTCATCCCCTTCTCCGCTCTAGCAGTCTATACCCATCCCCTTCTCAGCTCTAGCAGTCTATACTCATCCCCTTCTCAGCTTCATGAAACTACGCAGTTCCTTTTTGGAATTTTTATTTTCATCAGAGACATGTAACGTTAATTCTAGGAACATATGTCATTCAAGTTGTCCATAACAAAGCCTGATATTGAATAAACACGTATTCGATAAGGTCGATACAGATATTTCATGTAATATACATACTGATGTGTAGGACATACATACAAACTACAAATCAAGATATTTCTTGACACCGACCTCTGTCACGCATATACACAGTCAGTCGTGACTGGGCGTCCGTGTCGGATGTGATTTAAGCAGAATGATTTTGAAGGATTATCTGAATAGCGAAATGTGCTTAGTTGCGGATCTCAGAGTTTCCTTTATCAGTCTGTAGAGTGAGTGAGTGAGTGAGTATTGCTTTCCGTCGTTTTTAGCAATCTTCCCAAAAAAACCACGGTGGGTGACATAAAATGTTAAATAAATTTTAATTATTTGTTCAATACCTGATTTTATACTATTCTCACATACCACATGCAAATAGGGTTCATCATCGTATCTTTTGCTTCCTTTCTTTCGTATTCCAGACTATACTAAACGTCACAATGCATTTTAAAGTTGTCTGCCCTTGACTTGTACGAGACTGGTTCCTATCCTACACGTCCGACATAAGCGTAGCATTGTCAGGGAACCAGTTTAGACGCGTACAAAAGTACCCGAGGCTTAAAACAACACAGGCTGAAACGCCCTAATTCGAACTGACTCATCTCGAGATATAAATCACAATCTACGTAATACCACCACAGCAATATATCATGAACCTTTCGCACCAGCCTGTTGTAGCCGTCACTCATTTCTCAAGTCAACAAAAGGGATGGAGTTCACTGTGGGTATTGTCTCCCCTGTACGCCAGAGAATACGCAACACTGTAATATACAGTATGTGTGTGACAAGGATATTGTCCTTGACGCTACTCACATATCTACAAATCTGAAATCATATTCTCGCATGTCAATAACCTATTGTAACACGCCATATACCAAACAAGAGAGAGGGTAGCTTGACATCACCTTGGCAACCACCACTGTCACTGACGTGATATAAAGAAAGAAGATAAGACCGAGATTGAAGGAAATCAGGTGAAAAAGCTGGCATTGCGACTAGGGTCCCGTTCCACAAAGCGATCGTGGCGTTGGTTGGTTAGTTGGTTGATTTGTTGTTTAACGCCGCACTCAGCAATATTCCAGCTTTATGACGGCGGTCTGTAAATAATCGAGTCTGGACCAGACAATCCAGTGATTAATATCATGAGCATCGACCCACGCAAATTGGGATACGATGACATGCATCAACCAAGTCAGCGAGCCTGACCACCCGATCCCGTTAGTCGCCTTGTACGACAAGCATAGTCACCTTTTACGGCAAGCATGGGTTGCTGAAGACCTATTCTACCCCGGAAGCGATCGTGGCGTACGACAGTCGTAAGTCTATGATAACGTGTAGTAGTTACGATCGTCTTAGCGCTACCGTTGCTTTGTGGACCAGGGCCCAGGACGACGAGATTATAACAACAAAAAACCGAGCTATGTCACGACTGCCTAAATTAATTCCCAGACTAAACGAATCAGTTCCCGCTTGGGTACGTTGAACGCGCCCATTGTAACCATCTGATACTCATTTCATTGGGTCTTTAAAACCTGAGATTCTGTGTTATCAAACCCGACTGAGTGCATCGTTGCTCAGTCTATCAACCACTAGGTTGTCTAACGTTATATCACTGCTGAGAAGAAACATTCGCTCACCTACTCTTATCCATTGTCGTTATGGGTGAGTGTAGTTTTACGCCGCTTTTAGCAATATTCCAGACACGGTGGGATAACGGCTGATCATTAAGCCATAGAGATGACATCTTTGAAGGTATCACTTAATCGAAGTTGCTGACAGGCCACAGTATATACCAGTACTACATGACTCAGTGGCGGTTGATATCTAGACTCTTATTCCAGCATGTGTTTCATTCTGATTTTGCGAAACGAGTGTCAGAATTCTTGTATTTCCCGAGCGAGAGCGTTGGTCATACATGAATTCTTACACGTGTAAAATCAGCACGACACACATGCGAGTGTAATTATCTCTGTATTAACCATAATAGAAATTCTTAATCCCCTTGAGCTCTCCTTTAGAAACATGCACCGATCACGACCGTCGTCTTAGAAAACCACAATTGTAGAATGACGTCAAAAATCTTCAGCTGAGAAGTCGTTTCTCGTGTGACCTCATTCCGACCATACGTCACAATCAGATTTGAATGACATCAACAATGCCATCCTGATTACGGAAACAATACACTGGTGCGCGTGAAGTTATATTGATATTTGCACAAGGTTATTTTCTAATCTTATGGGTAAAAAAAGGAAATGATACTCTCCCTCGATATATCTTGCTTATACACATATCCTGTACTGTTTGTTAATTCATGCACGCCAAACGTTTTGGATTAAACGTTTAAGATAATACCTCTAAGCCGGACTAATGTGATACGGAATGTATACAACCTCAAGGAAGCGTTTAGCAGCCTTCGAAATTCCGAGACTACTAAATTGTGTTGAGGATACGCAAAACAACAATGATGTTAGTCCTCATTGAATTGCTATCGGTCGGAGCAGAATAAAACTGATAGAAAATGTAAACATAGAATACAAGTAAGTATCTTCAAGCTTGACTAGCTACAAACTCCGAGGACTAGTGAAATACGATTTGCGCTAGTCCTCTGGACTAGTGTTTAAAAAACCTAACAATATCTTAGGGTGGTTCAGCTTGTTTGTGGGGCGGTCGGGTAGCCTAGTGGTTAAAGCGTTCGCTCGTCACGCCGAAGACCCGGGTTCGATTCCCGACATGGGTACAATGTGTGAAGCCCATTTCTGGTGTTCCCCGCCGTGATATTGCTGGAAAATTGCTAAAAGCGGCGTAAAACCATACTTACTCACTCACTCAGCTTGTTTGTTTGTTGTTTAAGGCCGCACTCAGCAATATTTCAGCTTTATGACGGCGGTCTGTAAATAATCGAGTCTGGACCAGACAATCCAGTGATTGATATCATTAGCATCACTCTGCGCAATTGGAATACGTTGACATGCATCAACCAAGTCAGCGAACCTGACCACCCGATCTCGTTAGTCGCCTGTTAGGACAAGCATGAGTTGCTGAAGACCTATTCTACCCCGGATCTTCACGGGTCGCTTCAGCTTGTACTGATAACAGATTTATACAGGAAATAAGAAATGGAATCGAAAATGACACTGTCCACATCTAACTACATAACCTTAGATATTTGTAGTATTTTTATATGAATATATTTGTATGTGTACCGACTGCTCATTTAAAAGTATTAATAACCAACCACTGTTTGGAGAATGTATTAGATTATGATACGATACCTCAGTTGCATTTACCTTGTTCTTTCTCAAAACATTATATTATAACATTTTAGGTGACGTATTGCCACGGAAAGCCTTTTGATTGAAATACATGCCTTTATGCCCTTTTCACTATCAAACATCTCCACCTCAATAAGAAATAACGCTACTACAAGAATATGCTCTTTGCTGTCAACCAACCCTGTCAGATGTATCAATTAATGTTGTTGTTTATGAATGTAGGGACTTACATCGAATTTTACCATGAAACACTCATTTATACTGACTGTGCATTTATAACGTATGCATATTTAACGAGTTGATATTACCAGAGACCATATAATTATATGGTCTCTGATATTACCATGCTCATCTCGTCTGAAATCCACGTCGTGTTGTTTTCAACCCGGAAGCCTATTTATAGACATAACATTCCTGGCCGTCAGACGGCCGGTGTCATGTCAACGTTTCGAGAGAAAAAAGACACCGATTTACAACATTTTGGGGGCATGCTATAGATTCAGTTCGTGCATTTCGGCCAGGCATTATATTCTGACACGACATGCAACAATATAGCCGGGCGGACAGGTGTTAGAGCACTGCTTTGTGAACTGGTTAATATTTCATAAGGATCAAAATGGCTTTAACACCGGTTTGGCAGTCCGCGTTCTTGCAACACCCGAACTGAATCTACATGAGTTTTACACCCTCAATAACATACCTGTCAGCAAATATGAAGACTGTTGACACTATGACCTCCTTCACAGGCTCTATATCAACACAAGGGGGCTCAAGTTCGACTCGGTGACAACCGTGCACGTGTGTGTTCAAACGCTCACGATCGGGAAACTTGGATTTACCAATAACACGTTCACGCGCACCTTGTCGCTGTAATCTCAATATTCAACCTTACCTGTATCGTCAGCTGAGGTACCGCGTCAGTCGTGAACTCCCAATATGTGCATAACACTCATTATCTGCCATGTTTTCTAGGTTAAACGACAACCTGTTCGTTCCCAGGGGCGGTCGGCGATAAAGACAGCTATAGTGGAGTCTACGCGCCCGGACGGGAGTGATGCTGTAGGTCTCAGAACAGCGCTCGAGTGATGGCGGATCATATGGCGATGGCTTCCGCCTAAGCTTCAAGGAAATCTTCAAGTCTAGGCGTGATCGCAGAAGCATTTGTGTGAGATCGATTGTAAGTGAGTTTGACAGCGCGCAACTTATGTGTTACATTGTGAAGAAGTTGTGGTCCATTGAAGATATGACAGGTGTATATGTGGCGGGTCTGCGTCTTTTGTTTGTAAACATTTGTACGGTAAACAAGTCTGTATGGAACGCGCATGTCGTTATACTGGTCGTCCCAAGTGACAACGAAGTTCGGCCTATCTCTACAAATGAGTAGTGAATAGGGATAAAACAAACAATAAAACTACAAATAAGCGTTCTCTCTTATTATTGTGTGGGCGGTCGGGTAGCCTAGTGGTTAAAGCGTTCGCTCGTCACGCAGAAGACCCGGGTTCGATTCCCGACATGGGTACAATGTGTGAAGCCCATTTCTGGTGTCCCCCGCCGTGATATTGCTGGAATATTGCTAAAAGCGGCGTAAAACTATACTCACTCACTCTTATTATTGTGTGTCGTTATAATAAGAGGATATATGGACAGTCGGGTTTTCCACAACACACACCAGATAAACATGGAACTGGTGAGGTTATGTCACGTTTATTGTAGAATGTAGTGTTTCATTATTTACCGAGGCTTCTTTCAGTATATTATAAGGTTTCTAGCTATTAACAATTTTTGGGGGACGCAAAATGAGTGAGTTTGGTTTAACGTCGCTTTTAACAGTATTCCAGTTGTATCACGGCGTGTCAGCTTCATGTGGGGGGAAAGCCCGAAGTGATGCATGTCTCAGACGTTTACCGCTTTCGTGAAACCCACGAGCACGGGTATGGTGCTGACAAACTCAGAAACATAATCGGGGCGAACCGGGATTCGAACCCACAACCATAGGTTTCTGGCGTGCCCTAAGGGCGCAACTCTGCACAGTAAATTGCGGCGCCTTCGACGGCTGGGCCACCCGTACCGCCCTGGGGGGGGGGGGGGGGGGGGGGGGAGGTCGAGTGTACGTGCTGATATGAGTTTCTGCCTGATGTGAGAAACACGCAGAGATATATCAGGGATGGCGGATTTTGTTTAATAGCACAAATCGATAAAAGTGAATTTACTATACGCATCTCTCTCTCTCTCTCTCTCTCTCTCTCTCTCTCTCTCTCTCTCTCTCTCGCTCTCTCTCGCTCTCTCTCTCTCTCTCTCTCTCTCTCTCTCTCCCTCCCTCTCGGTTTTGTTACAAATCGATAAAAGTGAGCATCAATCTTATTTACTACGCATAATTTACTACGCAGAACTGTAATCTTAATAAAATCAAACATGTTCACTGAAGAGGGCACGACAAAAGATATAAGGCCATGGTTCAATGGGAAGGGTCTGCTAGAGGCGGGTAGTGAAATGACCCTTTAACAATTCAAATTACACACTCCTGTGAATATCTTTCCGAACCAAGTAGTATACATTCAAGGCGGCCCTTTCGGCTATTCTGACGTACATGTGCACGTGTCGCCCGCCATGAGAAATGCAATGTCATGTAGTCAAGACTCCCACAGTTTCAGTGATACTGTTTTTAGAAATCAAATATTTGGTTATTGTATGAAATAAATATATTCAACTGTCTTATTTTTCTTTATCTTATTTTAGACCGGCAGGTCTATTTTGTTTCTGAAGGGGTCAGGTTATTACCCCTCCAATCACCGGTGGATAACGTGCAAAATCCCTAATGAAGCAAGTCGAGGTTTGGTCTAGGTGAATATATATATATATATGGCTATATTTGTTTCTCTAGAAATTATATAATTATTTCAGAGACTAAGCGTTAGTCTGTGGGCATGGTGAAAAGGTCCGATGTCACTAGTTTTAAGTTCTACATTGCTGCAAAATGTCATACCGGTATCTGTGGATATATAGTTACTCAGCTGTCACGTGTACCTATTTAAATGAAGCCCACGCTCCGTGTGCCTCTTCCACGTGGTGATCCTGGGTTAGAATTAGTCATCAAATGTGCTTGTCGTCAGAGACGACGGTGTGGTTCGAGCGGTCTGGCTAGGTGACTTGTTGATGACGTGTCACCGTACCCCAACGACGTGGTTTGTTCAATCACTGGATTGTCTGGTCCACACTTGATATAAGTGCGGCGTTAAACACACACATACACCCCCAAAAAATAAAAAAAATATAAAAAAAAATAATTAAAAAAATAATGTCGATGCGATGTTAAATTTTAACTCACTCATATCCAAACGCACAGTTATGGCTTCGTGCCCCAGAACAAAAAGGTCTACGTGTGAAGTAAGTATATATGTTTGATTGTGTAATACTCCGTGTTTTAATCATACGTATGTCGTTGGAGGTCATTAAAATGTGCGCATCCCTGTGACAAATAGCTTAGATATGCAGTGTAAACGTCATGTCAAATGTTAAGGCCATGTGACATACAAATTACAGTTGGAAGAGAGCAGCTACAAGAGACTGGTTTATGAACGGCTGACATTTTTATTCCATCTGCGTCAAGATTCACGAATTATGACTTTATTGCTGCAGCGACGGGGCCTAGTTAGTGATAAGGTCACCGCGAGGGCTTTCTTTAACTGGTATGCACAACTTAATCACAGGTGATTGACATGATTAAGTGCTGAAGTAGACACTCGACATATTTATAAGGTCACGTTTGTCTTCAGCGCAGTCACGTTTACAGACCGCCTCCGGAGAACAGAAGGTCGGTGGTTCGATCCCGGTTAGACTAACGCTCAGTCTATGAAAATATATAGTTTTGAAAGAAACAAATAACTCCATTTAAGAAAACGACCCTCAGTGAGACGAGAGATTGAGAACCTGAGGAAAATCTAGACTTGCTTCATTTAGGGATTGTGCACTACAGAAAGAGCAACGCCGAAGGGAAAATAATATGGTTTAGGGACTGTGAGACAGGCTAGATCCCGGCATACCAAAAGACTAAAGGCTAAAATGAGATCTGGTCGGCTCGGTTTTCACTTCCGAAACGAAGCCATAGTGGCTAATAAGTCATGGGTATGTGTCACAATCGAATGAAGACATAATACCCTGTATAAACGAGGATGGGTGTCTGCCGTCTCTATATTTTGCAAATGTCAGTGAAAGCAACAAAGTGCTATACTCAATTGAAACTATTTCAACCCTGACTTGTTACTACATGTAGTTCTATTAAAGATGAAGTGGGAGAAAATATAAATCCTTATGATCTCTGGAATAGCTTAATTCAAAATATATTTCTGAATGTATATGTAATTCCTTGAAACTACATTTAACCCTGTATACACGCACGTGCATTTGTGAGTGAGTGAGTGAGTTGGGTTTAACGCCGCTTTTAACAGTATTCCAATTATATCACGGCGTGTCAACTTAATGTGGGAGGAAAGCCCGAAGTGATGCAGGTCTCAGACGTTTACCGCTTTCGTGAAACCCACGAGCACGGGTATGGTGTTGACAAACCTAGAAACATAATTGGGGCGAACCGGGATTCGAACCCACAATCATAGGTTTCTGGCGTGCCCAAGGGACGCAACTCTGCACAGCGAATCGCGGCGCCTTAGACGACTGGGCCCCCCGTGCCCCCCGTGCCTTTGTGATCAATCAACGGCAATGTTACTGGTCATAGAGTATTCTCGTTCCCATTGTGACTCGTGAAGAATAGGTCTTCAGCAACCCATGCTTGTCGTAAGAGGCGACTATCGGGATCAGGTGGTCAGGCTGACTTGGTTGATGCATGTCATCGTATCCCAATTGTGGATCAATGCTCATGATGCCAATCACTGGATTGTCTGTTTTATTAGCGATTATTTACAGACCGCCGTCATATATCTGGAATATTGCTGAGTGCGGTGTTAACCAACAAACATCAAACAACGTTCCCTTTGTGGTCGTGATGGAAGACGTCGAACTTTAAAACACGTTGAATGGAATACTTCCTTCCATGCCCGGCAAACAGCCATCCTCTTACAACGAGGAAGTGACAGGAAAATCGGTATAAAGAAGACGCACCTGTTTCACTGCAGCGAGAACCAATTACTTGGATTTCACCTTGGTGGTGGAATATTTTTGTTGAGCGCTCGTTGACAATACTCTTATTCAGCATATTTAAAATAGTTCCTTTAGTTCACTTTCAAACAATAGTTTGTAATTATAAGAAAGAAATCATAATAATTATTTTTCTTTTCAGATGAGGTTATGATATTCCGCGTTCACATATTATTCTGGAAAGTGATCGTCATAGCGAATTCCCATTCTTTGATACTGAATAAGTATTAATTTGCGAGGCTAGCGCTGACTCTGGTTGACAGGCCTTGTGAGGTCAGGTTTCTTATGTGAAGTGCAGCTGTAGTAACTTTTAGCGGGTTAATCACGGACTTACAAATGTAATCTAAAATCGAAGAGGTTTCGTTTTGGCTGTTTTAAGATCGATTCGTGGCTGTTGAAATATCACTGTGGTACGCTAAGTTAAAATCGCTTGCATCTATTTGGTCTGGCTTACTGGTGTTCGATATCACTAATCTCGCGCATTCTGTTTCATCAGCCATACAGCTGTTTTGACACGACTGGGCATCTAGGTCAGAACGCAGACTGCGCGGGACACACCAGAGACACTCAGGATGCTCGAAGTCTAGACTAACATCTAGTCTCTGAAATGAAAATATTTTACAGAAAAATAACAGCTGTTAAATTATCTTAATATATTATAATAAAAAAGGAGCCAGATGAATCTTTATTTTCAGAAACTGCAGTAATCTAGACTTGCCAACTATTATAGACTTGCATGGGCTGTATTGGATATGTTTATTTCAGTGTCTGTATGCCCGACTACAGGAAGTCTTGATCCCAAGCAATTAACCACAGGACGTTTAAAATAGCGACAATTCATGCATATTCATGGCCCAAACCACCCGATTGGATGCCTC